AACTGGGGAGGCAAAAGTTTTACAGAACTGGGAGAAATGGAATGTGTTTGACAGAGCAGCCCAATAACTAGCAGCTGTTGACATGAACAAACCTATCAAACAACCAGGTAAAGAATTGGGACAGTTGAGGAACAGTAGGATGGGAAGGACTAAAGCCACGGCTAAAGGACCACCATCTGAAAGTAGACCAATGTCTCTTTTACATGGACAATGAGGAAGGCTGATTGGGTAATGAAAGATGCTACACGAGGAGCGAGTACCTGAGCTGAGGCAAAGGACCAGACAAAAGCTACTATTGAAGATAGTGTGGTTACATCTGGATGAAATATGTTTGATCACAGTTTTCAGAGGAGTGACCTGAACAGAGGTAAGGACAGGGAATGCTGTTCTAGTAAGGGCCAGACAGTCTTTCTCCCTCACAGTTTGACTCCAGCATTTCCCAATATGCCTGAAATTCAAATCACACATAATTATGACCTCATTAACAGCTGAAATCTTAATCTGACTGTAAAGTTTCTCCCTAGTTTTCTCAGTATCATTTGGTGGTCTGTAACAAGTTCCCACTAAAAGCCTTTTCCCTTTATACCTGTTAATAGAAACCCAAATGGATTTAATCTCCTTTCTATTATATTTGATATTCTCAACTTCAACAGAATGTAACTCACATTTTACATATAAAGCCACTCCTCCCCCTCTTTTTAGTACTCTATCCCCATTAAATAACCTATAACCCTGTATGTAAAGAAATTTCTGTCATCAAAATCATCTATATTTAACTAGGTTTCAGTTATTCCCATTATATCAAAATCCTCCATTCCTACCAATGTCCAAGGTCATCTCTTTTATTTCTTATACTTGTAGCATTACAATAGTAATAATTAAGCCTATCCTTAGAACTATGTCCATACTCATTTCCTATGCTAAACTTTTCTCTACATTTTTGCATTTAGTTTATCCTGGGCTTTACCACTTTCTTGTCCTAGTTTAAAGTTTACATTTTCCTATACCAAAAGTGTATTTCCAGTAATACTTACGGGACATTTATTATGGATTTGGTGTAAAGGACACACTGACTTAGGTGGAGAGAGTCACGAGATTAAAACTACTATGGGTAATATTGTGGGGTATAAAGACTAGAGCATGCGAGGTATAATTCATACCAATGCTTAGATGGGCAGAGAAGAGAAACTTCTGTCAGGATAAAGCTAAAGTGTGAGAGGAGCGAAGTGTGCTTTGGAATCTTTCCTTACAGCTGAGTTAACAGCCCTGGTAAACAAGCCAGATCCTACCCTATTTAAATGTCAACCATCCATTCCAAAAAGCTCCCTTCTCCCATTGAACTGATCTTACAAGTCCAAACAGCCAATCTGCTCATCCTTACATATTAACTTAAGCCTAGCATTTAGTCTTAGAGACCTACTCAGATTTCATTCCCACAATTAATTCTCAGCAGTATCTCTTACACAATTAAGTTATGACCTTTTCTTTATGTGCCTTTATTGACCCATTGTACTTATTAATTAGCTCATCTGACATACCTTTCCCTACATCATTAGCCCCTATGCACACAACAAAAACTACATCATTGCTAGCCTTCTTTATTATATCTCTTGCTCTGTCAGTTATATCTTCCACCTGTGCCCCTGGGTAACATAATCTAAATCCTTTCTCCCTATTTACCCCACAGACTATTCTATCCACATACCTTGTCAAGGAATCACCTATAACTATAATCTCCTTAAGTTTATCATCCACATCCTTCTCTGATCCGTTTGTTTCCTTTTCTCCAATAGTTCATCATCTGCACAAGCCAAGTGCTGAAATCTGTTGCTCATTACAATTAAATCTACTACTTTTAGCCCTAATAGGACTCTTTCTAACTTCTTGAAAGTCATTGTTAGCTGATGTATCCATTATATGTAAAAGCTTAAGCTTCTCTTGAAATCCTGCTATCACTTCTCACAGTTTATCCTTCTCTCTATGTATTGCCTCTACTTTAAATAGGATAGCCCCCAACTTCTCCTCCAACCTACAAACTCTAGATACAAATTGCACATCTTCACAAATAAAACCCACTCATTGCACCCATCAGACCTGACAAACTGTGAATGCTTAATTCCAACACTAGCCTTAACCACTGTATTTGTAGCCTGAAAATAAAAACTCAATACTAAATGTAAATACTAGTAACCTATTGCCAATACTGTTATTGTTAAGCCTAGCATTTTAGAATCAAATATAATATAGCTTTTATCACTACTTTATGTTCACACTAAAGTAATTAAGTTTATCTTTAATTTTATATAAGTGACAAATAACTAGTCTTTACTTTATTTGATGTTTATGTAATACTAATATTAATAGTAATAATACAATGTAATTAGTCTGATTTATAACCTATCTATAAACTAAATTTAAACTAATGGATCTAAACTAAAGTCAAATAAACAAAATAATCCTTAAAACACGAAGAGACAATTAACTAGCCTTTAGATTGTATTTGTTTAATAAACCAATCTATTTAACCAGTTTTATGATTTTCCAGTAAGATGAATTACAGTTAAGCCTTAAAGTACAATTACACTTCTTAAGCTCTAACTTAAATCTTTAAGCCTACTATTTTTATTTACGTATATTACTAAACCTAGTTCATCTTTTGTTCTTCAACCCAAATCACTACAAATGATATTATTAATTTTAAATAATATTCAAAAATCTATAACAGTATAACAGCTTTTCCTTCCAACATATTCTCTCTTCCATAGTGCCCTCTCATTTATCTTCTGGGATTTTCTCCACATCCCCTACCATCTGCAAGAACTTCTTCATCTCAACTGTCACCCCTGATGGACCACACATCACATCCACACCTTTTTTACCCATAGCTTTAATCATTTTCATTTTCTACATTCAACAGTTTTTTTATAACACTGCTTCCACCTTTTCTTTATGTCCTCATCCTTAACAGCCACTGACCCATTTCTGTTCTTTAGTACATTTACTTCTCCAAAATCTCTTCTTCTTCTTTCTCTAGGCTTAGCTATCTTATATACCAAATTTTCTTCTTTAGGCAATTCCAGCTTACTATACCATTCCTTCCATGATTCATTCTTTGCTATGGCCTCTGCTTTCATGGCATTTAGTTCAGCTTCCCTATACATGAAAGTATTGTGTTTATTTCCTTGTGACTCTTTGAATATTCTTCTCTTCTCCTTTATTGCTTCCTGTATTTCCTCATTACACCACCATTTATCTTTATTTTATTCTTTACTTCCTTTTGATACTTCACAAACCTTAACTGCTTCCAACAGTGGAACTTTAATAGTTTCCCAATCCTGATCCAGGTCTCTTCCTTCTACTGTATTTGCATTTGTGGTCTGTCTCTGTCTGGTCAATTCTTCTTTGAATTTATTAATGTTTTCTCCCTTCACTTTCTGTACCTTGATCTTAACTCCTAGTTTATGCTTCTTGATTCTATTCTCTCTGTGTGTCTCTTTATATCTATTACCAACAGTCTATGTTGGTGCACTATTTCCTCCCTGGGTATCACTTTACAGTTAATGATATTCCTTCTATCTGTTTGTCTGACAACCACAAAGTCAATTGGACTTACATGCTGACCACTTATACATAATTTTGGTTTCTCTACTCTTGTCCTCCAGGCACACCCTGAAGACCAGCTTGTCTTTCACCATCATGACAGTTTAGGTCCCCTTCAATTATACTTCTTTCTATTAATAGTATGCTCCTGACTACCTTGTTATGGACCATACACTGATATCAGGTTTATAATTACATCACCAAAAGTCATCTTTACTATCATAGCTCTGTCATTCATCATTTCTACTTCAATTACTTTCTCTTTGAGTTATTTATTTAGTATTAAGCCACTCTATTTTTCCTTGTATTCTTGCCACAGTAGTGTATTTTAAATCCTTCTCCCAGCTCTCTTGCCATTCTGCTTAGTCTTCTGTATATAAAGAGGATGAATTTTCCTTCTCATCGTTACATAAACTATTTCACACTTTCTCCAAGTCAAACATAATCATACAGTGCCATATGTATGGAAAACTACTTAAATGGTGAACAATCACATAATAACATCTATATGGAACTAGCTATATAGTAAACATACTTTAAAAACTACCTACATGGTAAACATACACATTAATATATGTATGGAAATACCTACAGGGCAAACACAATCACACAGTAAGATAGTTTATGGGAAACATAATAACACATTAGCAAACAGTATGGAAAATCACCTATATGGTAAACAAAATCACACATTAACATGCTGTATGGGACTATCTACATAGTAAGCATAATGACATAATAACAAATTATATCAAACTACCGATATGGCAAATATAATCACACCATAACATACAGCATGTAACTCTGTACATGGCAATCATAATCACACAATAATGTACTGTACAGAACTACTTATATAGTAAATATAATTGTAATTTCATACTTTGTAAAAGGCCATACACACTATAAAAACCCAATGACAAAACGAATTTGTACATAAGCCAATGAGATAATGTTGTAACATAATTAGACTAAAGAAAGATGTGCTATATATATATTAAGAATAAATTATGAATGAAAATATTTGCATACCTTTTTAATTATTTTGTAAAAATTACAAAAATTTAATTTTTCTTCTAATATTTGAATTAGAATTTATTTTCAAATTTATTTTTATATATATATATAAACACATATCTTTTACAATAAAAAATGTACATTAATGTTCTTCAGTACTTAAGTTGTAAATTTACAGTCCTTTTTTACATTATACTTTATCAACCACATGTATATTAAAACAATTTAATGAGAGATTTAGAACACATGCCTGAATACATTAACCAATGACCTTAAAATAACATCAAACTATGGAGCATCAATTTATGGAAGACTGAAATAATATTTGGGAAATTAACGTTCATAAATAATAATAAAAAAGATAAATAAGAGGGAATACAAACTTCAAAACTACTGTAAACTGGCTGTTCTGTAGAAGTTGAAAAACAAACCCCTTGCCAGGATAATTAACCACCTCATAGCACAGACCACTAAGATGTTGAACAGGCTGAAACATCAAAATCAATCAACAATACCAGTTTTTTTAATAATTAGTTAACCAGTGTACTAAACAGAAAATTAACAAATTCTAACATTTAAAACAAAAAAGATCACAAATGTAATATAGTTGTACCTCTTTTGGTTATTAAATAAAACATTAAAAACAGCATACAAATACTTCTAAAAATTTATTCTTTTCCTGTCATTTTCTTAAGCCTTTAATGTTTTTCAATTTTTCAAGTGAACTTCTTTAGATACTAAACCTTTTCAAAAAAAATAACAACCTGGTAATGTTGAATTTCTGGTTCAGTTCCTCAACTCTATCAGTATAGATAACACCTTGCTAATTCCTGCAGGGAGTGAACTTCTTGTTGAGGCCATAATCCCTCTCAGTGAAGGTAATGGCCAGATAATACCTACATTATTTCTTTGTTGAGTTTTCATGCAAAACTACTCTAGAGCTATCTATGCTAGACATCCCTAATTTCGAAGTGACAGACTGAGAGTGGGTGGCTAGTTAATTTCACTCACCTCCAACTCTTGGGCTACTCTTTACCTATGAACAGTGGGATTAACTGTCACATTATAAAGCACCCACAGTTGAAAAGGGGAGCATATTCTGTAATGGGTTTCAATCTCGCAACCTGTAGATTGTGAGTTGAGCACCCTAACCACCAGGCCAAGTAATGTCTGCAGGGAGTGAACATATACCCTCTCCGTGCATGATTATAAGACAATCTGAGAATCTCACTGAGAACAGTTTATAAAAGCGTTGTATTTGCTACAATGTGTGTTTATAAAATACACTGAGAATCTCACTAAGAAAACTTATCGATGTACATCACAAGCCATCTTTTCTGTACAAAGACAGTTAATTGTCAATTAGTGAACTCATGTCCTGTGTACACTGGAGAAAAAAAAAAGAGTTGTGTGGCTTATTTGAGTGACTTTCTGCATCCAAATTGAACTGAAAGAAAATTGAGAAATTTGACAAGTTAACATATTAACTAAGGGTGGATGGAGCTAACGCATTGTACAGTTGTGTACCATGATGTTGATGATTATTAATTAATTATTTTATATAAGTATTATTAATGATTTTTTTAATACATATTTCATCAATTATTCTAATAGTACTACAATAAGTTCTTAATAAATCATCATTCCAACAATACCATAGGGCCAACACACAATTCTTGAATGTTAATGCTTACACCATGTGGTAGCAGAAGTAATTATCAGTCATAGCAATCAGCTAACTTGAACCCAGATGGGTCTCTTTAGTGAGTCTTAGGCAGTTGCCTAGGCCTAGAGTTTCCTCTTTGCTATTATATAGTTTTATACACCATTTAAATCTAGTAGTTTAAAAAAACTATAGCAACACGAGATTAATGTTACAATTATAATTTATACTACATAGTTTGATCCAGTGTACAAGAACATCAACTTACGGTAATTTCAATGAAAAGATGATGTGAAAGATAATACAAGTGAAAATGATAATGGTTTACAGATGCATAGGCTCCAAGACTGTTAAATCCTACCCGAAAGGATCTGGAAAATTCAAAAAGAACTTTACATGTACAATGAAAATATATAATGATACATTTTCAAATTTTTTTTATGTTAACATGGGAGAAAATTTATACTTTAATCCTTATGGACATAATGCGGTGAATCCTCTTAAAACATTGGACACTGTGTCCAAAAAATTACACAGATTTAAATCAACTAAAACAAGAGAATTTGAGATTACATTGAATGTGAGACTCTTATTGAGAAAATTTCATGAAAATGTTGCACTTGCTACTGTGTGTAATTACAAGACAATCTCAAAATCTTACCGAAAATGTCCCATGACAATGTTGTAGCTGCTACAATGTGTGTTATAATACAAACTGAGAATCTCACTGAGAACATTTATTGACATTGCTATTGTTGCTACAGTGTATAATTACAAGACACTCTGAGAATATCACAAAAAAGTCTTGAATAATGTACTGCAGAGTTTTGTATATCCAAATGAAACATTGTAGTAGTAAACAAGATGGTCTTAAATAATGATTAGAATTGCATCACGTATGTTGCCCTGCACAGTTTCATATATCAAAATGAAATTGTGTAGTTGGGAAGAGATACATTTCAGGGCAAAACAAGTAAATTATCATCAGACATGTTTTAATGTATAGTTTACTGCAATAAACTATGACTCTTCCATAATAAAGAAGCACTTATAATTGGTAGTTTTTTCATCATTTGATGAATATCTCCTACAATATTTTTCTACAAAAGTCATCCATTAAATGCTTATACTTCCTTATCATCTGACACCTATGTCTATTTGTTTGATATCAACTTCCATGAAATGAAAAACAATTTAGTTTCAATAAGAATCCAACTTACGGATCTGCACTCAGCAGAAGCATTTCAACAGCAAGCTGAAGTCCACTTTCATTAACTACCTGAACACACAAAAACAGAAGAAATTCAATTGTTGTCATCAGTAAATCAAATATATTATGCATCATACTGTTCATATAATTGTCTTAAATATTTCCTTGATATATAACAAAAATTGTGTTATATATTATTACATACTAGACATATAACACTACCTGTTACATATCAATACTTATGTAACAGGGCAGCCCATGGGCATAGTCAATTGGTTTGACTTCACACAAGTTACAATTCATATAAATCCAGTTTGTGCAGTCGCAAGTGGAGCACACAAGCAACCAATTCGAGGAAATTTACGTGTGGAATAAAGAACTCAATCAGAGACGTTTGTTACTACAACACAAACTAAAATTTATTTATAGACTGTTAATCAAATCCTCTATATCAAAATTTCCAAAGTTATCTGGAAACAGTTCAAACTCAAAACTATCAAACTCTTCGTGCTGCACACTGATATGTTCATTAATTAAACCTTCTACTATGTTCACCAACATGAATATACATAATCTTATTACTTCTTCAATACAGTTAGTGTTTTTTATTTTTCTCTCTTCAGACATTATGCATTATATAATTGAAACATTGTTGGACTAGATAAGATATAACATTACTTACAAAAAGTGTGTGTGACGGATGTCTTCTAAAGTTTGAAGTGCAGCCATGATGGGTCTACTAATCAGTCTGTATCAGCTGAAGCAAGATGATTTCAGAGATGGAAGCACAATGTTTTATACACAATTTTCTGTGCCTTCATGATAATTCAAAAAGTTCAGCAGATCTACTTTCACAAGAAGTTCCTTCAACTCAATTGGCACAAATGGAATCTTCCATTAAACCATAACTATAACCACTTTTTAATTGGTTCATGGAGAACTATCTTCAGATTATTATTTGATATCCTTCGCATAAACACCCAAAACAACTAACTCAGGATGTACAGAGACAAACTGTATAGCATTGGCCTCTTCACAAGTACTACTCTACTTGTCAATTCTCTATGTCCAGTTAATCGTTTTTTTTATATGGTTGCTTTGCCTCTTGACTAATTTTGAGATAAATGTTCACTGCATTCTCAATCAGAATTGCATCTGTTTGGCATTAATCAAGGCCTGGAATGCATATAGCTATCTAACTCATGTAATGTGTCTTGAGTTTGTCTCACCCTTATTTGGTAATGTGGTTCACTAATTAGTGTCCATATTTTTTTATACCATCCTTTGGTCTGCTGTATATCTCTAGGTATATATTATCTGTCTGGATCAAAGAATTATCAATTCTCTATGTAATAATTTATATGTTAATTAAAACTCCATTTCTAGAAATTTGGAGTATTTGCACTATAGCAAATACTTCAATCCTTCCCACTTAAAGAAATTTTTATTTCTTGTAAAAATGTTATCATAAAATTCCCATGATTCTACCTCTATCAGGGTGTTTAACAATGCATCATTCCAGAACATTAACATTTCCCTAAATTGAAAATGTATTTCCAATAATACTTACCTCTGCTGACACTTATAGCTATTACTTGACCTCCAGGGTTTCTTGTTTGTCCATCTAAGCATTGATCTGATTTTTCTCGCTTGCTCCAGTCTTTTATATCCCACTCAACTGCCCTTGGCAATATTTTTCTCATGATACTCTCCACCTACATCAATGCACCATCTCTCCTGGTACTGTATATAAGCACCTCACTCAGATAATTTTATCCCTTTTTTTTAGACTGACACCATCACAGTCTCTAACACCAGCTCTTAGTGGAGAGGAAGGGCAAGAGAGTGTCAGTAGAGGTAAGTATTATTGGAAATACATTTTCAATTTAGAAAAATGTTAACTTCCAGAACATACTTACCTCCACTGACACTTACAGCTAAAATCTAACATTGAGAAGGTGGAGGGGCTGATGAGGGCATTATCCATACAGAAAGTGTCTGCATATATCATGGGTGTACCAAGATAAAATTGGTACCAAAGTGGGGGAACTACACTACATCCAGAACAGGTATGCCCTTCATCCTGAACTTAGTTTCTGTATCAAGGTGGAATTGTACATGAGTGATCATCACTATAGGCCAGCCCCAACCAGATAGCTGACGTTCCACTACTCAGGGTTGGAATAAGGGGTTTTGGCAATTGGACTGCACCATTACATATATATATACTATTGATTGAATCCCAACCTGTAGCCATAGAGTGATGTGTTCCAAATCACTGGTATCACAAAAAGAATGTAAGCTACACTAAAGTAGACAAACCTTCTCCACCAAATGAAGCCCAAAAGGCAATGCCCCAGGCTTGAAATGACAGGATTATGTATGCCTTAATCAACCAAAAGAACAGAACACATCTGGTCTGAAATTATGAACATTCATCCTTACTCCCCAACTGAGTGGGAAAGGAGCATTCCACTTGCCCCCAGAATTATGGGGAGGATGTGGAACAACTGTGCTCAACCATGGACCTAAGATGGGACCACTATGCATTTAGAATTATGAGGATATAGTGGACCCCCTTCCCTAAACATTGTACTAAACCAACACTGATCAAAAAGAAGGGCTATGTACACCCCAAATGGGTAGCTGAGCATCAAATCTGAACCAGTATTACAAGTAGGCTCCCATGTAGGCTGGTGCTGCTTCTACTCACATGTGGGAAAAACACATCCAGGGACCCAGGTAGGAGGGCTCCCAACTTTGCCCTCTTCTCCTCCGAGAGTGGAGAAATTCACTCTAACAATCTGGAGAAAAAACCTCTGTTCACCATCCCAGTGACTGGAAAGCTGGTGTGTTAAGGGCTCCCTTGTTTCTCTAGTAGAATCTGAGGGGTAATGCATGTTGGGAAGCCCTAAGGAACAGTGCTCTGAAAACAGTGAAATAGGTGAATCAACTTCCCTTAATTTTTAAAAGGAAACTTACCCCAATTTATTCAATCTGACGATTGGCAGGGACAGGCAGGATCACCTTTAGCTTTACTCATGATAGTCCATGAGTGGTTGTCCAGCATAGTATGGTAATACCATCTGGTGAGCTCCTAGGTGGTCTTATGGAACACCTCATTTCTACAGAGCCTGTTGCAACTGGTAGTAAGTATAGTGAAAAATTGGTTGCTAGTGTGGAATTGAATTGATAAAAGCACACCTGCCTGAGCAACACTCACCACAGAGTGGGATCCAGTGAAAAGAGACAATAGGTGGAAAAAAATACACCTCCTTATAATTTAGCAGATATGGTCAAAACAGCCACAGGCAAAAACGTGTAAATAATGTGAGAAAAAAGTATTGGGACAAGTCTGCATACCAGCCCACACGATGTCCTCCAGTGGTCAATTCAATTCGAGCAGCTAAAGACAGAAATGTGATGGATTTGACGAGATATGAATTGCAGAAGTTTCTTCACCTGTAAAGATAGTCCAGAATAAGGAAATTGGATCATCTTGGGAAACTATGGGATCCCAATGAATAAAGAGTCGATTTCTAGCACCTTGAAAGAAATTAGTGCAAGCCACATAACACCTCAGGGCCCTGATGGGACATAAACAATCAAGGTCCAAGCGGTTGTAGAAGTGAGAAAAAGCCAGCATAAGAATTAGTGAGAAGGATTTATCCCCTTCCCTGCCTGCCAGAGTCTGAGGAAGAAAGGACCTATCAGGTTTATAGCAGGGTGTAAGTAGTAATAAAAAGTTCTGTGCACATGCATTATGAACAACTCTGACCTATGACATCCACATACCAGCAGTAACAAAAAATACACCTAAGAGAAAGGTGATACATAGCATGAGGCTAAAGGCTCAAAAGGATGTCGAGACAAAGCATGTAATACCACCTTAATATCCCAGTTAGGAAAATGAAAAGTCTTTTTAGGACAAAGGACACAAAATGATTTGAGAAGGCCAGATAGCAATGGGGACTCAAATACTTTCCAATATTTAGAATACCAAAAAGTAGTCGATAAAGCTGCCTAACATAAGGTGACAGTAAATGGAGATAGACCTCTGGTGAAAAGTCAAGTCAAAAAACGAGATATGGTGGGCACATTTGGGTTGAATGGGTTCAGTTTCCTTGTGAGACACCATTGGTGATAAGCATGCCATTTCTGTTGAAAAATGGCCATTGTGGGTCTACAAAGAGATTGAGACAAATAAAAGGCAACTTCAAAAGTTAAACCCTGATGCCATGAAAAGAACAGCATAACTTCCATGCAAGAAGTTTGAGCTTTGGAATGCCTGGGTGTAGAATGTTGGATTGAGGTTGCCTCAGCATAGAAAGTGGCAGAGGTGGACACTTGAAGATACTGAAGAATAGGAAACCATGGTTGGGCCAGCCAATCTAGGGCTATGAACAGCACTCAACAAGGAGTTTATCAAACCACAGCCAGAACTCTGGATAACAGATGAATCTGGGAGAAGGCATAGAGGTGCAATCCCATCCAGTCTTGAGTGAATGCATCTATCACCAAAGCCTCAGAATGAGATACTGGGGACCAAAACACCTGTAATTGAGTGTTCCAATGAGTGGCAAATGTGTTGAACATCAGAGTCCCAAACTGAGAGCAAATCCACCAGAAAACCTTGTGATGTAACATCTATTTGGTTGGGCTAAGACATATGATCTGCTATTAAATTCATCATGCCTAAAACATGACAAGCTAGGAGGCTGATATGATGGGATTGAGCCCAGTAGAGAATATTCAAAGTTCAATAACAAAGGTCCCGAGAATGCATGTCCCCTTGACGGGAAATGTAAGATACCATCATGGAATTTTCAGAATGAATCATTTTCCCCTTCAATAGAATTAGACTTTGAACCAAGAAGTTCTAAAATATTGATGTGGAAGGAAGATTTGTCGTCTGTCCATAGACCCTGGAATTCCTGACTGTTGATATATGTACCCCATTCCTGAACTGAGGCATCTGTGAAGAGATGAATCTCGGGATGAGGGTGCAGTATAAGAACACTGATTGTAGTGTTATTCCGATTCAACCACCACTCAAGAACTCAGATGTT